TATATAAATAAATAAATAAATTTGGGTTCATTTTTATACTTTTAAATAATTCAAATACTTTAAATATTGAAAAAACTGAACCATATTTTCTCTTATTTTTCTCACATCTCTCTCTTTCAGTGTTTGCTACCTGCACATACTCCAGGTTCCTGTTTGTGTGTTTCCTCCATGACGTGAAGAACGTGCTGAAGATGTTCCATCTGTCCTCGGGGGAGGAGATACGCACGTTTCCGCTTGATGTCGGCTCGATTGTGGGCTTCACTGGGAGGAAGAAAGACTCTGAGATCTTTTACAGCTTCACCTCGTTTCTCTCTCCAGGTCTGTCAAGATTCAGACGCTTCTGAAATGAAGAACTTTGGTCCTTAAAGGGACAGTTCGACCAAAAATTTAAATTCTGTTATTGTTTATTCACCCTCAAGTCGTTCCAAATGAGTTTCTTTCTCCTGAAAGAATATATTTTAAAGAAGGCTGGTAAACAGTTGTCGGTAGCCATTGATTTGCATAGTATGGAAAACATACTATGGAAATAAATGGGTACCGTCCTCTGTTTGGTTACCAACAATATACAAAATATCTTCTTTTGTGTTCAGCAGAAGAAATAAACTCATACAGGTTTGGACCAACATGAGGGTGAATAAATGATGACAAAATTTTCCTTTTTGGGTGTACTGTCCCTTTAATAACTCATATACAGCAATCAGGTAATGTTGTAACGGGTGTATTGAATGACGTATGTTGTGTTTTCCTGCAGCGATCATCTATCACTGTGATCTGACTAAAGAGCCGCTGCAGCCGCACATCTTCAGAGAGGTCACGGTGAAGGGCTTCAGTCCTGCTGACTATCAGACCACTCAGGTACAGCAACACGCTTGCAGACGCTTCATCTGTCTGTCTGCGGTACGATCGCCTTCACTTCGTGTCTGCTTGTTTCTTACAGGTCTTTTATCCCAGTAAAGACGGCACCCAGATCCCAATGTTTATTGTCCATAAGAAAGGAATCAAGCTGGATGGTTCACATCCTGCCTTCCTGTACGGATACGGAGGTTTCAACATTTCCATCACACCCAGCTACAGGTACAATACAAAGCAAACACAGAAACATACAGCTGATCACACACTCCACTGATGCAGTACTGATATTTGACACGCATCCCGTTCTTGTAAGCATCTGTCTCTCGTTGTTTGTGTTTCAGTGTCTCTCGGCTGATATTCGTCAGGCATCTGGGAGGGGTTTTAGCTGTTGCCAATATCAGAGGAGGTGGAGAATATGGAGAGACGTGGCATAAAGGCATGCGACTTTAATTCTGGAGCTAATCAGGGACTGAGCTGCATGGATGTTCATAATAGAATACTAGCAAATTGTGTGCCATGTATTTATGGCTTCCATTTTTTTTAAATAGTACAGTAGGTTAAGGGTAAGATGTTTTGTATTTTTTTTGGGTTTAATTTTGTTTTAAAGAAATTAACACCTTTTGTCAGCAAGGATGCATTAAATTCTTTTTTCTTTTTTTTCTTTTCTTTTTTTTTAGTTGACAGGGACATTGTACATTAATAAAACATTCCTGTAAATGTGCCAGAATTAGCCAAAGGCTATTTTTCATCTGTAGTCCCTGGACAAGATGTTACGAGTCACCCTAAAAGAAAATTTAATTAAAAATACATACTAGAACATTTAATAATTATATAGTACAAATCATAGTCTAGTAGTCTATTAAAAACAATAGGATAAAAAAAACAATGCAAACAAGATACAAACAATAATAGGATAGCTAGCAAATATAAAATTCTAGTGTTGACAAATCTGAGTACTAATTAACCAATTCTTCAATTGAACCCTAAATAAAGCATATGTGTCTAGATCTCTTATAGTTGTCGGAATAGTATTTCATTCTCTTGCAGCTTTGACAGAAAAAGCAGACTGACTTAAAATTACTTCGTCTAAGCGGTATGATACAGTCTCCTCTTAATGCACCTCCTGTAGAACGATAATCAGTTGTTCTAATACTAACTAACTGACCAAGAGGGGGAGAAGTTAAACCATAAATAATTGTATACATCAAGCATACATTTGCATACTTAATCATGTTTTCCCAACTTAACAAATTATATTTTTTCAGTATTGGACAATGATGATAATGTACCGATTTCTTATCGAAGACTTTAAGTGTATGTTTGTATAAGTACTCTAATGGTTTTAGAGTCACTGAACTCACCTGAGACCAGGTGGTTAAACAGTAAGTCATGGGAGAAATAACCATAGAATACATATGCATTTTAGCTGCCTCTAATGATATATAATCGCTAATAAACGTACAATTATAGAGATTAAACTTAACTTGCTTACAAACCTTTTTAACTTGAGCTTTAAATGTAAGTTTAGAATCAATCAGTATTCCCAGATATTTATATTGAGGCACTACCTGCAGCCTCACCCCTGACACATAAACATCCGGCTCTTTAATAATACTGTTAGACTTAGAGAAAAACATACATACTGTCTTGGACACATTTAGTTGTAAGCAATTCTCTTTTAGCCATGCTGACACATTAACCATAGAATTCGTGAGTTCATTTGCAACTTGTGCTAGACTATTACCATGTATATAAATTACTGTATCGTCCACATACATTTGTATATTAATGCCAGGACATGCAAGATGAAAATCATTTATATATATATATAGCAAAAAGCAGTGGACCCAAGATAGATCCTTGTGGAACACCAGTTGATGTACCTAAATCATTGGATTGGTGATTTTGTATTCTAACACACTGAAATCTATCTGATAGATATGACTCTATCCACTAGCAAATATAAAATTCTAGTGTTGACAAATCTGAGTACTAATTAACCAATTCTTCAATTGAACCCTAAATAAAGCATATGTGTCTAGATCTCTTATAGTTGTCGGAATAGTATTTCATTCTCTTGCAGCTTTGACAGAAAAAGCAGACTGACTTAAAATTACTTCGTCTAAGCGAACACAAATTAAGATATTTTTGATGAAATCAGAGTTTTAACCTTTTTGAATCTTTTACATTTTGGTTACTTGGACTTTCAATGGAGCGACGGAAACCACTCAGGTTTAATTTAAAATATCTTAATTTGTGTTTTGAAGATTAACCAAAGTCTCGTGGGATTGGAAAGACATAAGGGAGGGGTAAATGATGACAAATTTTCATTTTTGGGTGAACTATTCGTTTAAGTAGATGGATCTAAAAGAAATTTGAACTAAAAGCTATTACTTTATTTAGTTGACAGGGACATTGTACATTAATAAAACATTCCTGTAAATGTACCAGAATTAGCCAAAGGCTATTTTACATCCGTAGTCCCTGGACAAGATGTTACAAGTCACCCTAAAATAAAATGTAATTAAAAATACATACTAAAAAATGTATAATTACATAGTTCAAATCATACAGTATTCTATTAAAAAACAATGGGATCAAATAGAGACAATGCAAACAAGATACAATCAATAATAGGATAGCTAGCAAATATAAAATTCTAGTGTTGACAAATCTGAGTACTAATTAACCAATTCTTCAATTGAACCCTAAATAAAGCATATGTGTCTAGATCTCTTATAGTTGTCGGAATAGTATTCCATTCTCGTGCAGCTTTGACAGAAAAAGCAGACTGACTAAAATTACTTCGTCTAAGCGGTATGATACAGTCTCCTCTTAATGCACCTCTTGTAGAACGATAATCAGTTGTTCTAATACTAACTAACTGACTAAGAGGGGGAGAAGATAAACCATAAATAATTTTATACATCAAGCATACATTTGCATACTTAATCATGTTTTCCCAACTTAACAAATTATATTTTTTCAGTATTAGACAATGATGATAATGTACCGATTTCTTATCGAAGACTTTAAGTGTATGTTTGTATAAGTACTCTAATGGTTTTAGAGTCACTGAACTCACCTGAGACCAGGTGGTTAAACAGTAAGTCATGGGAGAAATAACCATAGAATACATATGCATTTTAGCTGCCTCTAATGATATATAATCGCTAATAAACGTACAATTATAGAGATTAAACTTAACTTGCTTACAAACCTTTTTAACTTGAGCTTTAAATGTAAGTTTAGAATCAATCAGTGTTCCCAGATATTTATATTGAGGCACTACCTGCAGCCTCACCCCTGACATAATAATACTGTTAGATTAGAGAAAAACATGCATACTGTTTTAGACGAGACATAAGGATTCTATGATTAACGGTGTCAAAGGCTTTCTTTAAATCAAGGAACACGGCTCCAACTACACCACCTTTATCTAAGAAAGTTTTAATATACAAATTGATTAAAAGTGAAACTAATTATACTTAAATGTTTCCATTTCTCTTAAATTATGTTCTTTCTATTCATCGCAAAATCCTGAAAATATGCATCACAATTTATTTAAAATAGGAGTCAGTACAACTGTGTTCAACATTTGTAATATTCAAAAATGTTTCTTGAGCAGCATATCAGCATATTAGATTGATTTCTGAAGGATCATGTGACACTGAAGACTGGAGTAATGATGCTGAAAATTCAGCTTTACATAACAGGAATAAATTACATTTTAAAATATATTCAAATAGAAAATAGTTATTTTAAATTGCAATAGTATTTCACAATTTTAATGTTTTTACTGTATTTTTGATCAAAATAAATTGGTAAGCAGATCAGACTTTTTTTTAAGCGTATATTTGCACAAATATTTGAACAGTAGTGTATATACTACAGTGATGGTTGCATTTTATGTGTAGTATGCATTTGAAAGATATATATCTTTAACATTCTGTTGCATCTTTCTTCTCTCTTCCTGTGCAGCGGGGATGTTGGCCAATAAGCAGAACTGTTTCACTGACTTTCAGTGTGCAGCTGAGTATCTGATAAAGGAGGGTTACACCTCCCCCAAAAAAATCACCATCAATGGAGGCTCCAACGGGGGGCTGCTCGTGGGTATGATACACACACACACACACACACACACATACATACATACAGGTTTGTGTTCTCCTGGTCCTAAATCCCGACTCTCTCTTGCAGCGGCGTGTGTGAATCAAAGGCCTGATCTGTTCGGCTGTGCTGTGGCTCAGGTCGGCGTCATGGACATGTTAAAGTTTCATAAGTTCACCATCGGACACGCCTGGACCACTGATTTCGGCTGCTCGGAAATCAAAGCGCAATTTGATTGGTTAATCAAGTAAGTTTACTTCGTCTTGCACAGATACATTTAATGTACTACTTTTTTAGGAGCAGCAGCCCCAGTGACACTTCTGAGACATAACTGCATTTCAGTTAAAGCAGGACACCACTCTAGACATTCTGTTACTGTGATTTTACTCCATTAACTGTGGTAAACTCATTGTAATGCACAGCGTCAAGTGGCTTATTGACTTTATAGAATATGGTAATATCAATATAGATAAAATATTTAATGCATTTATTAGTATACCTTAATCTTATTTGTTTCCGTTATTTATAATATGCACTGTTGTTGTTGTTGTTGTTGTTGACTAAAACTGTTCAGCTGTTTTCAGTACTTAAAATAAAGTTTAAATAAAATTTAAAGTTTAAATGAAAAATGTGGCCTTGGTACCTACCTGAAAGTTGAAGTACTAAAACTAAACTAAAAATAAACTAAAGCTAAATAGGATTCAAAATAATAAAAATTACAAAAGCACATAAAATTGCAAAAATGTCAACTAAAATTAATGTTAAAGCTAATTTCAGATATTAATAAATACTACAATAATATTTAAATAAAATAACTAAACCTAAAATAACACAGATTATATACCTATAATCTTTAAATACTGCAGATTCACCAGCTGAATATTTTGCATTGAAATATTTCTTATTTTCAATATAGTATTTTTTATTTTATTTTATTCAGCATTTTATTTTATTGTGCATGCATTTTATCTTATCGCTTGTTAAGTCATAATGATTCAAAAACTGTTTCCGGCTTCCGCCTCCCTGCCTTTTCAATTGTGAACCTTTTATGATCACTATTTATTCAATTATTTTATCATTTTTAATATACAGTGTATATATAATATTTTAATAATTCAGAAAAGATTAATCATTGTCTGGCCAACTGAGATTTTGGTATGGGGATAAAGACATTAGGATCATGATCTTTCAGTAGTACTACAGCAAAACATAAGTGCATAACTAACATAGTAACATATCATAACTGCAAAACCGCTCCTCTGTTCTGAATTTAAAGAGCTGTGAACGTTCTGACCCTGCAGGTATTCTCCTCTTCACAATATCCGTGTTCCAGAAGCTGACGGGGTTCAGTATCCCGCCGTTTTGTTGTTAACGGGTGATCATGATGACCGCGTGGTGCCGCTGCACTCGCTAAAATATATGGCCACACTGCAGAGTGTGATCGGTCAGTGGCCCGGCCAGTCAAACCCTCTCTTTATCTACGTGGACACAAAGTCGGGCCACGGCGCAGGAAAGCCCACCAGTAAAGTCATTCAGGAGGTGGCCGACACGTACGCCTTCATCACTCGCTGCTTGAACCTCAGCTGGATCGAATGAAGCGAAAGTTACGAGGCTCTAAGCTGTTCCTCTACTCCTGCAGGTTTTTCTTCTGACAGTTTGATTTCGTTCTTGCCTGTTTGCTCTCCTGTTCACTGAAATATTCACCTTTTTTGCTCTCTTTCTGTCCCACTTCTCCACGGTTTCATTATTTAATGTTACATGCAAGTAAAACAGTCCAGTGTTGGTTGAAAACTGAATCGCATTAATGACTGATTTCATATCAATTCACCATCTGTCACGGTGTACACTTAGGAAATATTAGAATTACCGAGGTCACGGGGTGAAGTGTCATAACCTCTCTAGCACTTTACTAAAACTGTATTTATTTGACGACGGGAAGACATTAACAGTTTATGGATCACTGCATCACTTTGATGCACAGCACCCATCAAAAATAAGTTTGCAAGTGAATCACATGCTCAGGTCACATTTTGCCCCAAAAACTAAAATAATTTTTTTTTTTTAGGATTTTTATGTATTATTACACTATTTTTAATGGCAGCTAAGCACATTTGAAATAGTCAAGTGTTATGGATTTTGTCTGGACATGCTTCCCATTAATCTCAGAAGTGATTCTTATTACTAAACATGATAATATAATACATTTTTAAATTTAAATCAGCATAAATTATATAAATCCTCTAGAATGTAATAAATTAGTTTTTGCATACAGTATTGAGAACTGGAGAGGAAGAATATACTTAATTGTCATGAAAATAGCATCACATATCATTTCTTTTGATTGGAGTTGAAATATAAGAAGGGCATATTTGTTAACATGAGATTCACCCTTACAGTGTTTGTCAGTGTGTGTGAATGAGCTGTATCTCTCGACAGAAATCTGTTTCTACCTCCACATTTATGCAGATTGTTTTATCTTGGAAGGGAAAAGCAAACAAAATAACCTAGTACAATAAAACACATTTGAACATGAATATGTTTTGTGTGTTCAGTTAGATGTTCAGAACATTTTAGCTCTTTTTTTTGTTTGTTTACCTGTTCTATTAGATAATTTTACAGAATAATATTAGCATTTCAAATGCTTTTAAAAAAAATACTATAGAGAAATGAGTAGCTTCATCCATCTAACGCTGTGTTACAGTTTCAGTGTGAATTGAATCTCTGCAGTGTCTCGCTGTCTTCCTCTGCTGGCTTGTCAAAAATATATATATATCAATATATATATATATATCAAAAATAAAGCAGTAGTGTTCAGCAATATCTCATTTCATTAAATAGCTCAGATTGTGTTATATTTTGAAAACAAGCTGTAAAGGGTCATTCTTTAATGTGGTGTAATGATTTTTTTTATACTTAGCAATAATTTTGATAAACCAATTAAATGTATGTAGGCTATACAGAGCCAGCAGAGGCATAAGTTAACTAAGCGGCCCACAAGAGTACATGAAATGACAGCTTGCTTTATTTTTGTTTTTGTGATGTAGTATGTAATTGGACAATGATAGTATGTAATATACAAAAACGCAATATGAAATATATATATATTTTTATTATTATTTCCATAGTAGCGCTGTATGACAGGTGTATCACTTTTTAGTTTTTCCTTTATTTTTAAAAATATCCACAAACTTGTTAACTACACCTATCATAAACAATATAATATAGCCTATTCAGATGATCAAATATGTGGACATTAGTTCGTTTCTATATAATAAAGCATTTTACTTAGCTAGTTTTAGATTAAAGTTTTTATCTTCTGTGTAAAAATAACTTTCCTGGGTATATAATAAATTAAGCTTCTGTTTCATAAAACTGCTATTGATAACAGCTTAACATTGGCCTACCTTTGGGGTCTTTGCTATATTCCAATATCATTATGCCTGAGCAACCTAGTTATAGATTAAGAGTTGTTGTTTTAGATGTACAGATGACTTGCTGCTGTGTTTAATCATTTATATTGTTAAAATAACATTCTGTTCCATAAATGCATTGTCTGCTGGTTTATTTAGCTACTTTTCAGTACACCACATTAAGTATGCCACTTAGTAGACTTTGAATGTTAAAGTGCAAATTAAGTCAAGTCAAATCTGCTTTATTGTCAATTCTTCCACATGTACAGCACATACATACAGAGAATTGAAATTGCGTTACTCTCAGACCCTTGGTGCATACAGATAACACTAACAGTAGAACATAAATACAGATAGATACAGATTAAATATAAAATACAACTATACTATTTAATACAACTATACAAATATGGTCATGTAAAAAAATAAATAAAGCAGCACAAGGCACATGGCAGATAGAGTGCAAACCAGTGAAGTAAACAAACAGTGCAGATATAATGATTGTAGTGCAAAGAGCTTATTCAGACTGATTAAAGTGACAAAAAGCTTTCTGGTCCCAGTGTGTTAGTGGGAGGGGGGAGTGGAAGGACCTGGGGATGTGGGAGCTGGGGGGGTCTGAGGTTCAGCGTTCAGTGGTGCATGGGACAAAAGAGGGGAGGGGGGGCAG